TGGGGGGGGGGGGGGGGGTTTCCCCCATGTCTGCAAGCAGCCTACATGTCTTGAAAACTACTGGTGGAAAAGGTCACAAGAAATGATGGGGTACAGGATTTTAAGAAATGCTAACATATTGATGATTTTCAAAATAGAGGGAAATCTGGGAAACAGTAAAATAAAAGAGACTGAGAAGTCTGATGGACAGCAACTTAATGCAACTTCCAAGCATCAGAAAGCTGTCTTCCATTTTGGGTTATTAAAACAAGAGCATCACTTCACTGAAAAAGGAAACAACTCTTCTACATGACTCAGGTCCAAATGCATCTGGAAGTGTTTATTTGGTACAGGCTCTTTATTAACAAAGCACTGGTTACCAACCTTAGGCTGTGGGCCAGACTGATGCACTTCAGGTCAGAGATGGGCAGGCACTAAGACCTACTTTTTCTCCCATGGTGGCATGGGGAGAGCACCTACAGTCAGCACTTGTACCCACAGGAGTACAGGAAAGTGACTGCTGTCAAAGCCCCACATCTGGGGGCTGGACCAAATGGCTGCATCTGGCCCGGAGGCTATCAACTCCTGACAAAGCACCACAAGCACCAACAGCAACAAAAATGGAAGCAGCTGATGGAACCAATTTATGAGAAAAGAATACAAGCATTAAATGTTTACACTTGGCTAAGTGATGACTATAAGGGTTCAGTGCACAAGTAATCCGAAGGCGTAAATATGAAGACAAACATTATTTAGGACAGTATAACAGATGTTATCAGGAGTAATAGGATTATATTAAGAAAATCCTAAAAGCATAAAAATATATTTTCCAAGGGAAGTGAAGGAAGCTCCATTGTTTGGAATTTGTATAACGACTGGACACTACATCAAGTACTCATTGGGGCCAAATTAAAACAACGCAATGACAGGGAGAGGGACTGGCTGATCTAGTTTTCCTTCAATTACTTCTGCTGTTTAAATTTTAAAGACTTGCTTACTTGGCCCTATTTCCACTATTATTATTCAAGGTTAGTTTAGACAAGCTAGATGGGAGTTTGCACAATATTTGGAGAGATTTTGCTCAAAAATGACACCACACTATTGTCATTTTATAGCAGTGCTGATAAAAGTAGCCTGGATTTAGCTTTTGTAAAGCTCTGTAACATAAGTTGGCCCAAGAGGTTAACTTTGTTCCTATCAAGTGGCTGCTAGTTGCTGAACTGAGTTCTAAAGCTAAAAATAATAATTTGGATACTTAATATCTAGCAGACAATTAGCCCTTACACAGGAAGGAGTGTTTTCCTCAAGCATCAAGTCAGCTCTTTTGTCCTGCATTCTGAGCCATCTGAACAGATCCCTGAAAAGCACCACAGACTTCACCAGGACTTGGGCACATCCGTTAAGGACCAAGGGACTCCAACTGATCCACTCAGATCAGAGAACAGGACTGTGACCTTGGATTTTAAAAGGTCTTTGCAACAGGGACAAGGTCACCTTCAGGATCTTTACACTTATTTTTGCCATCTATGTCAGCACAATTCTATGAATAGCCTTTTTATTGCTGCAGCAGTCAGCACTGATACTGAACTCTCTCTCTTGTAGGGAAGACAAGAATGATGGCTATTTGGCATTTTATATCTGTTAGTCCAAGGGACAGCTCTACAAATTAAACACACAATGGATATTTAGAGTATCTTAAAAACAGCTGGATTGTGCTAAAAGTGACAGTACTTAATTAAGAACGGATTAAAGCCCTTTTATATAGTAGATTTTTTTCTATAGTCCTTATTAAAAGGGAGAGCCCTCAGTTAGAAAAACATGTGGATATAAGAATCCCCAGATAATAGTAAGTGGACAGTGCCACAGATGCCCTGAGTGGGTTAGGGCATTTATTTGCCCCCATGTCTGCAACTGCTGCCACAGAATGGTCCTATTTCAGCTGTACATGGACATTGAAAGGTAGCCACTACCCAGAAGTCAGACATGGAGATCTTTAGGAAGCCACATCTGTACTTCTCTTCAGCATTAAGACTACTTGCGAGAAGAGCAAAGAAAGGCTGGAAGGAAGGACAAAGCTGGGATTTCTTTCTTTGAGCCCAGAGGTTACAAAACCATTTACTTTCAACTTTTTTTTCTATGTTGGCCTCAGTGTAGCATATCTTATTTCCAAGGTGGTAACCTCTCTAAAGATCCCTGCATCTATTCTTCACACTTGTGGCCTTAGGCTGTGGGAACAGTAAAAGTCATCATGCATCCCCTGTTACTTGATGCTGGGGCAGGGACAGTCATGACATGGCACCCTTAGGCTGATTCAAGAGATGTGAAGTCAAAGGTAAGAGCTCCATCTCTCGCAAAATAATTTATCTACTTCAGCCCACAGCATCAATGGAAATCTGCTTTCAAGATGACTTTACTGAAACATGGCCTAATTCGGTTTTACTGTAAGTGAAAAAAATATTTAGTTACCTAACAAGTTACTCCAGGAATTTCCTAATATCGCACTTCTCCCTTTACTTATTAAAAGTTTAACAGAACATTTTTCTAACTTGTTTTTAACATAATGCCAGCATTGCAAACTTTACTGCAGCACTCAGGTACTAAAATTAATGTTAGCAGAAGTTACAAAGACAAGGAAAACACGCTATATAACATGTTGAATAATTTTGCTTGGATATATGGTTACCAGCATGTTTTACTGCTGACAAAGGATTCTGAGAGGTAGAAAAAAATTATTCACAATATAAAAACCAAAAAAAAGGAAAGAATTAAATAAATTGGTATGGTGGCTCAAATTCAGCCCATTTAGCTTTGGCAGGATAACCAACCTGGTTTTCTGCAGGACTATAGGAATTTGTCAGAGGGTTCTGCAATAGTAACTGCTTTTCCATAGCACATGAAATGAAGCACACACAGTAGGCACAACAGGGTGATTGAGAAGGCAAATAATAGTAACCTTAACTCAATGTCTTTAGTTTGGCTCTTAAAAAATTCACTCTAAAAACTACCTACACACCTCCAGAGGGAATAGCACGTGTATCTCAATCTCAATAATATATTATTGTTTTACAAAGGTGTTTAACTCCTTCTTTCTGAGCTGCCAGTCCTATGAACTCAGTCAGAAGTCTCCAGTCCAACTGGGTGTTTTCCTCCTTTTGCATCATCACAAGTACTACAAATTCACATGTAAAAAGTATGCCCTCACGGAACTTTATACAAACTTAATTTCACTCTTGGGTTTACACAGAAGCAGCTCATTAGCTCTGTAATTAGAACTTAGTACTTTTATTGATGCATAAGTAGGACTAGAATTCCTGTCTCACACAACTGTGCTGATTCTGCAGCACTAACAAGAAACAAGTATCCAAAACTTACTTTAGTCACTAAAGGCAACAACCATGAATCCAAATACATAGAGGGACAACTTATTTTGGGTAAGGTACAGCTATTTATACATATACTTTTCAAGAGTAAAACCACATACCATTACCTATAAATGTTCAATTTGTATGCATTTAATGTCAAATTGTCAGGAAAAGGAGAAACTGCTTTATTATTTATTGGATCATTTTATGGAAGACCAGAGATTTTCTAGGAACTTTTCTAAAAAGAAAATACAAATAAAAATTAAAGGTGGGGGGAATTAAAGCTTTAGGCACTTTGAGGACTTGTATTTTAGTGTGCCATCAAGACTGAGGTACTGTATATAGCTAGAAAATGATCACTGCAATAGTGCTGTGACAGTAATAGGCATATTAAACTTTTTTCTAGCACAATATTTATTAAACAGTTTTGAAACCGTTTTGCCCAGAGTGAAGAAAGTATTCTCTGTCCCACTACACCTTTTTTGCGTAGCTATCTCTGTTGAAAAGCTGTAACATCAGCCAGCCTTCTTTAAAGCAACAGAGATGCACAATACTCTTACAGCTTGTCCCCTGAAAATTCATTGCCAAAGTCATAAATCCCTATTTCAGGGAAGGAGAAAAAAATAAAACAAACAAACAAAAAAAAAAATCACATCCTTAAAATTTCACAGGTTTTACATGTCTCTACAATCATTGCACTGTTAAAAAAAAAAAAAAAAATCAAACACATTTGGCAAGGCTGAACTAGCACATTACATATTTTTTCCTGAATAGTAAAAAATACATAATCACCTTTGAGATGGAGCATTTAACAATAATTACTGGTCCAAATAAATATGAACTACTTCAATTCTAATACGCAGGCTAATGCTTTGCGTTAAAACTTCCAATATTCATTCCCAAACAGGCATGGGAAAACTTCAACCAAATTTAGCAAGTCCAGGTAAGATAGTATTACTAAAAAAACCATGAGTCTGAATTAAACTGTTGAGCACTAGAGAAAACATGGAAGCATAAAAGTGATGATCACTGCTACATAAAATATTCAAAAATCTTATCTACACCCCTTCCTTATTACACTAAATGCATAAAAATGCACTGGTGATTAATTTTTCCTTTGTTCATTTTAAAACTACAGACCTTTAGTTTGATAAGCAGCTTTGTTTCTATCAACTTAGTTGTAAAAAACACCATCAAAGCTTGTGCTCATTAAATATATATATGTATATATAAAAACATACAAAAAGTACAAGATAAATCACATTAAGAAACTTTTACAGTGTAATTGTCCTAATTTTTTATTCTTAAGTCAGGGGCCAATTTTTTTTGTGCACAGAATTCTCAATGCGACTGAAGTTCCAGAATTCAGCATGGTGCCATTGCACAGAATTCAATGTTCTGCACAGTCCATTTAAAAAAAACAAAACAAAAAAAACACACCACAGGACAAAACATTCTTCTTAAATCAAATTCTATTTGTGAATTCAGCAAAATAATTTCTATAAAATAAAACAGCAAAATATTTAAATAGTATAGGGTGGGCTGTATCTGTCTTGCAGGGGTATTTGGTTTAGACAGGTTCCAAAAAAATTACACACATTCAAGTTACCAATTTTCATTTAAATACAGTATTTACTGATGCGTTTCTTGAAGACTTTAAACAAATGTTATTCTGGAATAGATACCTCAGAATTGTATTTGACTAACCAGTAGTTTCTTTTATAATTAAACCCTGCTTCTAACGTTAAGATTTCTTGTATAATGGATAAAGAGCTAAGACAATTCCTGCTTTCAAGTAGAACTGTGAATGAGCAGAAAACCAGCAAGTTAACTTGGTGCAGTGGCACTCACAAGTACTGTGTGATTTTGTTGACTTCCACTTCACTGGGATGCAGTAGAAGGAAAGTGTTAGAAGTTTATCTAATAAGCTCTACCAAAGAAACAAAACAAGCACACCAAATACAGTCTATATGCTCCAGGCATCCTGGCATAGCAAATTTTTGCATATTTGTTTTAAATCTTTTAAATTCCTATTACTGAAAACTAAGTGTTCTTTATCCCACCCAGAGACAGAACTGTCAAACATCAGATGTGAGGAACATATGTGCAACTGAAAACCTTTTGTTTGTCATGGTTTCCCCCCCTTTTTATAGTCTCGGTGTAAGAAGAGAAAGCTCCGAGCAATACAGTTGTCGCTTTGGGACAACTGTTGTCATGGTTTTTTTCCTTTCCCTCATTGGCTACACTAACCTGGTGTGAAGCCATGCTAAATGTTACAGCATAACTATAGCTTCAAAGTGATTAACCTAATACCAGAATGAAAAAGGCAATGAAAAAAGATCTAGAAACAATGTTACATCACCAATTTTCCACATCAACCAAATAATTAAAAGGTTACCAGCCATTACGTTGCTCATAGTAAAATCGACTCCAGTGGCAAAGAATTAACATGAAACTATTTTTGTGGTTGACATGGACAGGCTTTTTCATAAAGGAGTTGATCCAACTGCCATGAGGCAGGCAACACTGGTTGCAGAGCGCAGCGGATATATCAAGAAATTAATTTTTGTTTTCGTAGATCTGTGAGTCTCATCAAGACAAAAAAAATGTTTCTTGCTTAAGAATTAACAGTCAAACATTAATATACTATATACACCTTTGCCATTTACACATTAGCATCAGGCCATTTATTACAAAACACTATACACTTTCCACTGCAGGCGGGTTATATATTGACAGCAATTTTCTGCAGATAAGACAGTGAATAGACTCTCCACTCCATGTTGATTAGGAATAGTTTTTTCTAGTTTTAAATATTAGCCAGACACAGAGAAAGGTTGGACTGTAAGGCCTGGGTGCACAGTCTTGATGGAGCAAGTTAATTGATTATGTGCATTTCACTAATCTTTTGTCTGAGGCGGGGGAACTTCTTCACTGCCTTCATAATTATCTTGTGCTCGTTGGCCAGTTCTCTGAGGGTTGTTCATATGATGTGCTGCAGGGCCTGTATATGGCTGTCCATGCACATGGTTATTCTGTTAAAACACACAAACAAAATATTTTAAAGAGCTATTACTCTTGATTTTTTTTCCCTAAGCAATTATTTCAGTTTTTTTCTCCTTTATGCATGGTTCTTTGGAAAAACCCAAAAGTCAAATGAACTAAGAAAATTTTTAAAATCAGGATGTTGTTTCCTTTAATTCTTTTTTTAAGTTTCTCCTGCACTTACCTTTTGAATGCATTTATGCTGAAGGTAAAATACACACAAATAGAAATTGTAAAGGTAAATAAACAGTAAATTCCAGATTTAAGTAACAGAATTACATGCAAAGCAGAAACGGCAAGAAAGAGAAAAGGGAAATGAAAAGGAAGGTTGCCCACGTAACATATGTAGATTTTAGATTAAAGTGTACCTATATTTCCACCACAAGAAAAAATGGAATTGGAGAAATATTTTGTAAAATACTCAAACAAAACAAACAAAAAAAAACCCTTACCATCTTTCTGCAACACAGAATTTTGAGAGTGCAAAACAAAATCTGAACAAAATTTAAACCAGTCATTTTCTCCAGTTCTGCATCAAAATTATTTTTTTTCTGGACTAAAAATAATGTGTATAACTAATGGATGTAAAACATGGTCTATGATACTCCATGGTGCTGCAAGATTGGATCAGCTACCAACTTACTGCTGCATACTAACAAGATAAGGGTCATGTGAGTTAGAGGGTGAGAAATGCCATCTGTTGTGAGAAAGTGAACACACATCAAGCAGGTAATGGATTAAAATAGGTGAGGTTGTGGTAAGATGCGTCCAAACTCCCAAGGGGACGGGGAAAGTCTGTATCACTTACCAACTGCTCTGCTGAGAACATCAGCAAGGAAAGCAAGATGAAGGGGAAATGGGTTTGGGCAGGAGAGGAAAATTAGCAGATTCAGAACATATAGAATGAATTGGAGAAATATAGGGAGAGACAAACTGCAATTAAGCCAGGGAGCTCCTAATTTAGCTGTTGCCAGTTTAGTAAGCGTGGCTATGATTTCTTTCATATTAAGCTTTCCATTTAAAGATGCTAACAAGATGTCATGTAACGGTCAAAAAGATTTAAATGTTATAGGTAATTTTGACTTGGACATTAGGGTTATCTGATAAACCCCATGCAGGTAGGAGCTGCAGCCCTGCCACAGCCTTTCCAGGTCTGACTCTACATACTCCTCCTGCAAGCTGTGGTGAGGCACCACTGTTTCTGGGAGGTCCAAGGGAGGTTGGACAGGGAAGGGCCATGGCAAAAGAAAGTGCTCCTGTCTGCTTTATATTAATCAGACTATCAATAATGCAGATTGCTATAGGTCTTCTTGGTCTAGTTCTGCAGGAGGCACATGAGGCAGTTTCACCTAGTGGTGGTGGCAATAGCATCAGTTTAGAACCACTGAGATAAGATGATGCAGCACAACAGCCAGGCCTCAAATCAGAGGCCTGCTAAAATTTTTTTAAAAGTCATGGAGGGATGCTCTGACTCCAAATAGGCTGAGAAACAGTGAATTAATTTCAGGGTCCAAGTCTACTGTAGAAGCCAGTAGTGTAATTACCAAAGAAAGAACTACTCAGTGTGGACAAGCATGGCAAAATTAAATTTATCAGTATCTTCAGTATGGATTAGCTACTCAAACAAACATTTACCATGAATGAGATATCTCTGTTAGGATAATAGTTGGATTTCAGCATAAAATTCTGATGATGAAAACTGTTTGTAGTGAATACAAGAGATCTGCATTATCATGGGATTCACCTTAAATATGAGTTTGCATGAAAACTGAAACAAAACAAGCATACAAACTTTTGATTCCCTCCTCCACCCCCAAAAAGTGAAACTGCAGTGTTTACCTGTTGATATTGGGAACCAGGTGAGTGGGGATACAATGGGGCATCTTCTGGTGGAGAGGACTCGTGTTCATCTGGAGCATCTGGGTCATCTGGTTCCTAAAATTAAATAAATTCCATTTATTGAGATATAGGACATAATGACTCAATTCAAATCCATTCATCTTTAAATTCTAATCTAACTCTTCCTGGAGATGGATTCTCTACTCTCCTACAATTTCTCAAAAGCAACATTAATGAGTAGTTTCCTTGATCTTATTCAAATAACTCTTAATATCAATATATATGTTCAGCAAAGTTGCCTGGTCACCTCCAGGAATTTAATTTTACCATTTTAGGACAGTAAATGATCTCTCCCAAGATGGTCCATACAAATGGCAATTAAAGTGAGAAAAAGATTAATCAGGACACCATAAATACAACACAGCTGGCTGTGATGAAAATAACTAAATTTCAGACCATTCCAACTTAACAAATCAAGCAGTACTTGTAAATTTCTTAATTCTAGAATCAACAAAAAGGAGGAACAATCTGTTACCCAGAAAATTATTGCAATACTGGACAGGTTCTACACCAGTGAAGGACTTTAAAATTTAAAACGACAGCTCTTTAAGTTATCTTTCTACTTATGGGGATATGCAATTCTTTACCTCCTCTGGGCAGAGTTCGCAAGCCTTTGCAAGGGTTATTCTAGCACTGTGTGATCTCTCCAAGAAGTAACCATTCGATGTTTCATTGCTCTGAACTGGTGGAGACCAATTATTATACGTGTACTGGGGATTGCCAGTGTATGGTCTGCGCTCAAGCTCATCTCCAAGCCATTCTACTGCCCAGGTCCATTTTCTCTTCAAATCTCCATTGCTCTGCAAACAGATAATTAAGAGTTCATAATTTTGTTGTTCTTCAAATGCCAATGCTTTTCTGCTTCCACAAAAACCATTTACTGGAAAGCAGATTACCATCTTCATGGTACCCCACTGTGAACATTTTCTTTTTATCTGGTACATGAATATTTTTCTCCTAAAAGATACCTTGATAGGCAACATTAATGGGTTTGGAGCACTTGCTAAACATTAATGCAAACTGAATCTTCCTCTCAAGTTTAAATGCATCCCCTTTTCCACTTCCTTGTCTTGACCATCTAACACTGAAAGAGCCAAATGAGTATTCAATAAAGGATGATAAGTATTCTGTATTAGAATGCTTAATTAAGTTTTTCTATACAGAATTTTAAATATAATACATGAGTCAGAATGAAAAGTATCACCTGCAGTATTTGGTAGGCTACAGGACAGTTGCTGAAAAGGGCTACCATGCACTTTATGCACTGGTAGGCTCTTTTCTGATAATGGTTCTTTGAACGCTGAATGGTGTCAAATAGCCCATCCCTGTCATCTGGGATTCCTTTAAGTGCATTGTGAATCCTGCAAAAATAAATAAATAAATAAAATCCAAGAGTCAGAATGTTAACCCTCAAATGTAAATAGTGTTTAAGACATCACCGGAATACATTTCAATTACAGCGTAATTATAAAGGATAATATTAATATTGTGAGTAGAAAAATTTTGTGGTAGACATTTCTCAACAAGTATAACTTCAAAGTATGTGTGCAGAACAACTTCATTGTTGGGTATTTTGAAACTAAAAGGGCTAAGCGATACGTAATCCAGTCACAGTTAACCTCTCGAGTATGAGAGGGAGGGTCAAATGGCATACACACAACGTAGTTCTAACCACAAATATATAAACATGATTGATTAAATTAGCTGTTGATCAACTGAACTAAAAATTTCTATTTCATAAATTAGATCTACCTCCTACACTGTTAGAATATACATATATCTTAGAATGAATGGCTAGTCCCCTTTATAGTAACTGAACTGCTGTGAGATGATGTATGCATTATAGTTTTCATCATGTGTGCTAGGTCAGATATTTGAGGTGCTACACATATACTCTGTATCCCTTTGTGTTCTTGTGAGGGCAAAAAGACTGCAATTGCTGTAACTGTCTCAATTTCTTTCACCAATTCAGAATCCTATAAGCTCAGAGCGCCAAACAAGAATGGAGAGCAGGTGATGGTGTCTCCACTGACTTCATCACAAAGAACCACAATTTTCATAAGACAAGTAACTGCTCTCTTTTTCAAAGATGCCACAACAGTTTCCTACTGTATGCGACTGGCAGCTTACACCACCTCAGCTGAACAATAATTGCAATACTGTTGTGAAAACTTGGCATTGAGCTAGCTGCAAAGTCAATGATATAACATTTAACAAAGTTATTCAAGTTTCTGCAGACTGCTGCCTCACTGATTTCAGACATGGGCCACCTGAAATAAGCAGACACTGCTTGTGACCCTGTGTGGAAGAGCTTTAACAGTGGGAAGTATCCCTGATAAGAGATTATCATAGGCAGTGAAGGCTAAGGATGTGGTCGTCATGGGGGACCTGAACTTCCCGG